GTCCGAATCTTCCTTCTACACACAACAAGAGAGAAATCTCAGTGCAAAGCACAGCGGTTCTCGAGCAGAGGACCTCAACTATGATGAAAATCTGCTGCTTGTGATGTAAATCAGTGAGATCTTTCTAACAGTGCAGCAGATACTGAAAATGCTCTGAATATCAGCGATCGCTCTATATCTCCAGTAATCTGTCTCCGTGAGATGAGATTGAAATGCTCCAAACATATAACGCAGTGATTGAGAGCTGAAGAAATAAAGGCTCCTCAGAAGATGTGAGATGTTCTGGAGGCTTGTGAAGATCATTCCTCCGCTGAGGAACAGTGAAAGTAAAGCTTCTGGAAACAAACGCTCCTCAAAAGATCCTGAGGATCAGATTTGAGACTCTAAAACATGATTGATGGAGAATCAAGTAAAGCTGAGCTGCTTCAGTGCAGTAAGTGTTCATCTGGAGATATTACTGACGTTATTCTGACCTTTACTTGATCAAAACCAGTCCAGATCTGACACGAGAAGCAGCAGCTACAGTTACACTAAAAGAGCTCTGACTGGATAAACGACTCTAAACTATCAATCAGAGACAGAAAACATGAGGAGATCGAGTGCGAAACAGCAGAGTTTGATCATGATCATCATTTAGAAATGATGCAGCGCTACATGTCTACTAACCACAGAATGCATAAGAGTTTAGCACTAGTTAGGGCCTGTACTGTACTAGTCTACGGTTAGGGATGCTAAGTGTGCAGACTAGTCTTTTTCTTACCCACGCATCTCCATCTTTATACCTCTGAATATGAGGGATGCGGTGAACAAACATTACAGATGTAATTCAAGCTTGGCTGGCCGTTATTGATGAAGGTTGGCTGAAGGTCCGGTAGATCTTACTCACCCTTGCTCGACAGGTGACATACGGAGACCTTCCTTTCTCACCTGGCAGCAGCCCAATCACCTGCAGGAGTGAACGAAGCAGCTTCAGCATCTTCATTCAGCATTAAAAGTTAACTGATCTGGCTAATGATTTCTGATTTCTGCGTATTTGGGTTTGCATTATCGGCTGCATGCTAGTTTTCATTTGGAAAAAAATGTGTTGTTGCTTTTGTAAGTGTTCCGTTTTAACAGAACTCAAGTGAAGCGATATTGCCCAAAATATTACTAAAGTATAGTAGTGAAGGACTATTGTTAAAATACTTCTCACCTCTGGCATCTAGCATTACTTAATTTATTGTTTTACATGCATTATTGAACTTCTGTGTTTCTGCCACAGAAAAATAATATAAAAAGGTAATTACAACGTTTTATCTCATAATTCTGTGTTTATAACTCACAATTTTGACTTTTTTCTCAGAATTTTTGGATAAATCTGGAATTGCAAGACGTAAACTCAGAATTGTGAGATATAAATGCTGAATTATGAGATATAAATGCTGAATTGTGAGATATAAATGCTGAATTGTGAGATTTAAATGCTGAATTGTGAGATATAAATGCTGAATTGTGAGATATAAATGCTGAATTGTGAGATATAAATGCTGAATTGTGAGATATAAATGCTGAATTGTGAGATATAAATGCTGAATTGTGAGATATAAATGCTGAATTGTGAGATATAAATGCTGAATTGTGAGATATAAATGCTGAATTGTGAGATATAAATGCTGAATTGTGAGATATAAATGCTGAATTGTGAGATATAAATGCTGAATTGTGAGATATAAATGCTGAATTGTGAGATATAAATGCTGAATTGTGAGATATAAATGCTGAATTGTGAGATATAAATGCTGAATTGTGAGATATAAATGCTGAATTGTGAGATATAAATGCTGAATTGTGAGATATAAATGCTGAATTGTGAGATATAAATGCTGAATTGTGAGATATAAATGCTGAATTGTGAGATATAAATGCTGAATTGTGAGATATAAATGCTGAATTGTGAGATATAAATGCTGAATTGTGAGATATAAATGCTGAATTGTGAGATATAAATGCTGAATTGTGAGATATAAATGCTGAATTGTGAGATATAAATGCTGAATTGTGATATATAAATGCTGAATTGTGAGATATAAATGCTGATTTGTGAGATATAAATGCTGAATTGTGAGATATAAATGCTGAATTGTGAGATATAAATGCTGAATTATGAGAAAAAAGTCAGAATTGCTAGATAAAAAGTCTCAGTTATATATTTAGTTTTATTTATTCGGTTGCAGAAACGGGTTTCCATAGTAAGAAGCTTCCAGAGGCTGTGACTGATCAATAGATGGCAGCTGTGAACATCGTGTGCAGTATTATTATTATTATCATCATAAGGTGTGCACGGCCGTTCTGTGATTGGCCAGTTACCCGGTTGAGTTTGATGAGCACGCAGGGTTTTCCGTCCTGGTATCCGTATGTGTGGTCGCTGAGTCCGGAACATTCTTCCAGCACGGTGCGGTTGAACTGGCAGGAGCGTTTGGGGTTGTTGCGCACCTCTCCGCTGTCCTCCTGGGTGAAGTACTGATCCGGGACGCAGCCGTCGTTCTTCATCACCTGCTGAGAGTCGTTATAGGCTGCGGAGAAACACAGAAGCAGAGTCACCATCGTTCACTAAAACTGACACTGTTATAAAAACAGTTTTTGTTTTTCTCATTTTTGAAATATGTCTATTATTCAGTTTTAATTTGACTTATTTTAGTACATCAAGTTAAACTACATTTAAATGAGAAATGTTGTCTTGGAAACTAGCTGGAATGCAATTTATTTCAAGTAACGCAAATTTATTTTTATGGTTTTAGTTTTAGATTTATAACCCTGAGGAAAATAAGAAAAGTTGCCTTTTTTAATAATTTTTTATAGCTGTAAACAAAGATTATTGGAATAGGTTTTACAAGGAAAATACTGTTTTTCAGTCTTTCTACTTCAAAATGTTATGTTTAATTCAATTACTTGCCATTTCTGTAATTTCATTTGTGAAATCTACTTGCAATTTTCGAGTGAAAATTGTTTTTTCTGTGTGACTGAAATACATTTAAATTGAAGCACTAGAATTACTAACTGGAAATGAATAAAAACTTTAACTTAATTTATAAAAATAAAAGAAACCTAAATAATAATACTATTTAAAAGAGACAAAAACTGCTAAAAACTGTTCAAAAGCACATTAGAAATTACTAATAATTAAACTGAAATGAAAATCTGAACGTATAAAAAATCATATAAAATATGAATAAAACTGTAATAAATAGTACTGAAATAACACTTGCCTGTAGAATTATACACTCTTATGATACTTGTATGGTGATTCTAAACAGATGCTGAATGGACCAAATGGTAAGAAGATTGTCCAAAAATTTACATTTTGATTCCACGGATGAAGGAAAGTCATGAGAGAGTCATTAAACGTCATGAGGGTGAGTAAATCAAAGTTTATTTATGTGTGATTTGTTCCTAAAACACAGATGCTTGACATTGTGATTGTGACAAATTGCAGATTAACACATTTATATTTCTCTTTATGCATTTGGTAACTTACATTGCATTGAAGGCATTTTTTATCAGTTCATGCATTCACTGGGAATCGAACTCATGACCACGGTGTTGCGAGCGCCATGAGCTATTCTTCCAGATGAAAACGCACACATGGACTGCGGAAATGTAACTATTTACTGCTTGCAACATCATTGCATGTTGTTTCATGTACCATTTTGTAAAAATCTGTGTTTCTATTTACTTACGTGCAAGAAAGGTGTCCAGAGCCTGAACGTACGAGTCCCAGCTCTCTGTTTTCTCCACATTATAAACGATTTCTAGTAGATCCGTTTTTGGCCGAATCATCATGCCTAGAGAAACAGGAGAACCACACAGAGTCAAGAGATTGCGTGTGTGTGTGTGTGTGTGTGTGTGTATGTGTGATGCATGTGTATGTGTGTGTGTGAGAGAGAGAGAGAGAGAGAGAGAGAGTGTGTGTGTGTGTGTGTGTGTGTGTGTGTGTGTGTGTGTGTGTGTACCTGGTGTAGCCAGACGGTCCTGCCAAGTGGGCTGATAATCATCCAGCGTCAGCAGCATCACATACATGGTGAGACAGAACATGCCAGCCAGAAATGTGTAGAAGATCAGATAGAACAACAGAATCAGACCTGCAGAACACAGACACACACACACACACAATAACATTAGTTTCATTGGCTATGATAACCTACCAGTGTTGAGGAGAGTATTAAAGGAACAGTTCACCCACAAATGAACATGTACTGCTGGAAATGTGCTCACTCTCAGGCCATCCAAGATTAGGATGAATTTGTTTCTTCATCAGATTTATAGAAATATAGCACTGCATCAGTGTCTCAGCAATGGATGCTCTGCAGTGAATGGGTGCCGTCAGAATGAGAGTCCAAACAGCTGATAAAAACATCAAAATAATCCACAGCACTCCAGTCCATCAGTTAACATCTGGAGAAGACAAAAGCTGAAACTAATCCAGCATTAAGACGTTTTTAACTCAAATACATAGAGGCTATAATCCATAATAACTCTTCCTCCAGTGCAGAAGTGCATCTGCTGTTGTCTCTCACATCAAAATCCAGCCACATGTTTGTTTAGAGCTGTTTAAACGCTGCTTAATCTGTGCAGATTTCTCTCCTGATTCACACCAGAACACTTTTTCACTGGAGGAAGAGTTATTATGGATTATAGACTCTATGTATTTGAGTTAAAAACGTCTTAATGCTGGATTAGTTTCAGCTTTTGTCTTCTCCAGATGTTAACTGATGGACTGGAGTGCTGTGGATTATTTTGATGTTTTTATCAGCTGTTTGGACTCTCATTCTGACGGCACCCATTCACTGCAGAGCATCCAATGCTGCGAATGGATTTTTTATTATTTGGTGTATGGGTTCACTGACTCATTCTCGCTCTGTGTGTATGTGTGTGTGTGAGTGGGTGTGTGTGGGTGTGATTGCTGCTGACTGGTTGATCAGCGCCAGCTGTAGCTCATCAGCTCAGCTATTTAATACCTGTGCTATCTGTCCTGTGTTGTCAGATCGTTTGGTGTACCCGCTGTGTTCGAGTTCCCTGTTACTGTTCTTCGTCTCATTGGATTTCGGTTCCAGTTTTCTCCTACGGATTGTATGTTCCCGGGATATCCACGGCTGCCCATTTGCGTCCCTGCGCTACCAAGAGTGACTATATCCTGCACATGCTTTATTTGACTCTTGCCTTTTGTCTGGTTGGGACTCTTCTAAATAAATTGTTATATTTCACATTCGCTACTGAATCCTCCTTTGTAATCGTGACAGAACGATCTGACCAACCTATGGATTCAGCGAATGCATCGGCTCTATGGGACTTTTTGTCCAATAACAACGCACGCATGGATCATCAGGAGGAACAGATGTTAGCAACGGGTCGAGCTGTGCAAGGCTTGGTAGCGCAGGTGTCCGACCTCACTACCCAATTCCAACAAATGAGATCGACATGTTCCTGCATGGGTTGGCTGACCGGATTCAGAAGGAGATTTTCACGATGGAATTACCCACTGATCTTGATGGACTCATCGAATTAGCTTTTTGGGTAGATGCACGTCTACATCAACGTGATCAGCGAGGACGCCGCCAGCTGGCATCGGAACTTCCTAAGTATTCCACTGCCAGTTCCTGTAATACGGTCAGTCACACATCTGATTATGAACCCATGCAGGTGAGAAGAGCTCGGCTTTCCCGGGAGGAGAGGGACCGTCGGAGAGCAAGGGGACTTTGCTTGTATTGCAGCGTTGCGGATCATTTCCTAGCTGACTGTCAAGTAAAAGGCCAAGCCCGGCAGTAGAGCTGAGCGAAAATCCTCGTCCACAACTCTCCTCCCGGTAAGACTGCAATGGGCAACCAGAGTCCACAACTGCCAGGCCCTACTGGATTCCGGAGCAGAAGGTAACTTTATGGACTACAACTTGGCATAACACCTTCAGATTCCCATTGTTCCTCTTACCCATAAAATCTCTGTCAACGCACTCAATGGACAGGCTCTTCCTAGCATCACACATACTACTGGGCCTGTCACCCTCATCACTGCAGGAAATCATATTGAGAAACTCACACTTCTGCTCACTGAATCTCCGCCGGCTCCTGTCGTTCTGGGCCACCCCTGGGTGGTGCATCACAATCCTAGGGAGGCCTGGGGCCAGAATTCCATCTCGGCGTGGAGTGATCAGTGTTATGCTTCTTGTCTTATGTCTGTGTCTTGTTCTTTGTTGCAGAATAAGCCGGTGAACCCATGGAGTACCTCGACCTGAAGGAAGTGTTCAGTAAGTCCCGGGCTGCTTCTCTTCCTCCACATCGTTCCTATGACTGTGCTATAGATCTAGTACCAGGTACGTCTCCACCTAAGGGCAGGTTATACTTGCTTTCTGCTCCAGAAAGGGAGGCCATGGACATTTCTGATTCTCTAGCAGCCGGGCTCATTCGTCCTTCCTCTTCTCCCGCGGGGGCAGGTTTTTTTTTGTGGGGAAGAAGGATGGTTCCCTGCGACCATGCATTGATTACCAAGGGTTGAACAACATCACGGTAAAGAATACTTATCCTTTGCCATTGATGTCTTCAGCCTTCGAGCGGTTGCAGGGAGCATTCATCTTCACCAAATTGGATTTGCGTAACGCTTATCATTTGGTCCGCATAATGGAGGGGGATGAGTGGAAACCCGCGTTTAATACCCCAGGGGGCACTTTGAATATCTGGTTATGCCCTTCGGGCTATCCAACTCCCCCGCGATTTTCCAAGCACTCGTTAGTGACATGCTGACAGACATGGTCGATCAATTCATATATGTCTACCTGGACGACATATTGATATTTTCTTCTTCTCTCCAGGAACATGTTCAGCACGTCAGGCGGGTGCTCCAGGGGCTGCTCGAGAATGGGCTTTTTGTCAAGGCGGAGAAATGTGCATTCCATGCACAGTCAGTTCCATTTTTGGGATACATCGTCTCGTCCGAGGGAATGCGCATGGATCCCGATAAGGTTAAGGCTGTAGTGGATTGGCCAACCACAGATTCCTGTAAGACCCTGCAGAGGTTTCTGGGGTTCGCCAATTTCTACCGGCGTTTTCTTCGCAATTTCAGCCAACTAGCCACTCCTCTGGCTGCCTTGACCTCCACCAGAACTACGTTCAGGTGGTCCAGTGCAGCTGAAACTGCATTTGCCAACCTCAAGATCCGCTTTGTTTCAGCTCCCATTCTCATAGCCCCTGATCCCACACCTCAGTTTGTGGTGGAGGTCGATGTGTCAGAGGTGGGGGTAGGCGCAGTTATTTCCCAGCTCTCTTCCTTGCGCATTTTTTTTTCTCATCGTTTGTCGTCCGCTGAACGTAATTACGACATTGATAACAGAGAGTTGCTGGCAGTCAAGTTAGCTTTGGAGGAATGCGTCATTGGTAAGAGGGTTTGGGGGTACCCTTTATCGTCTGGACCGATCATAAGAACCTCGAGTATATTAGATCCGCTAAACGTCTTAATTCCAGGCAGGCTCGGTGG